GTTCCGACAACGAGCTCGCGACCGAAGCGAGCGTCGAGAGTGATCGCCGTCGTATCCCGCCTCGATGCTCCCGACTCTCCGAGCATCATCACGGGAAGGGCAACACTCTTCAAAGAAGCATCAGCAATCCGGAATTCCAAGCGGAGTTGATTCGGGTCGCTAAAAAGGTACGCGATAAGTTGGACTCGAGCGGGTTGAAAATGGTGGACGGGTCGATACGCGACACCCGATACGATCGAAAACTGCCCGCTTCTCGACCGAGCGGTAATAATCGACGTAAACAAGTCGAACGTGGGAAGGAGAATCGGGAAGGCGGGGAGGAGGGATGCGCGCAGGAGCCAAGGTCGAGGGATCATTTCGCGAGACACGAGATGGAATCGCAACGGGATCAATTTCGGGATGAGAACTCGGATTCTGACGGTTCGAAGCTCGCCACGGTCGATCGATCGCGAGAACGGACGGGTAATTCCGTTTCGAACGAACGATCAGCAGCAGGAGGGGAAGGACAGGACGAGGCGTAAGTCGTTTCTTTTTCATCGCTTTTTTCCAGTCCACGAATTTTCTCACCTTCGTACTTATCGTATTTACTTACGGATCCCCGATTAGATTTGCTCCCATCACAGCGCAATCTGCAACTCCAAAAACTATGTTCTACTTCGGCATGAACGAACGTTTCCCGGACGAATCCCGCAACGACGAGGATCGAGACGCGATCACCACTCGAGAATTTCACGCCGTTGGAATATTCAAGCACTCGGATCGGGACCGCGATCGTGGAGACGGCAGAACTTCCATGGACGGGATTCTCGACGACGCGGACGAGGATAACGTGAGTTGTTCATCTGTTATCTTCCGTTTCGACTCAATCGATGGATTCCCTTCGTTTTCAGGAGAAAAACGTTGTGGAGAATATTTCGTTGAAGTTGCGGCCAACTCTGCCGAAAAAGCAGTTGGAAATCCCGCGATTCTCGCCATCCGCTGCCTGGAGATTACTCTCTACGTTGGAAACTCCGGGTCCGAGTATGAGCACTGCCAGCGAAGAAATGCCGGTTTGAAACCTCTTTCCTCTCTCTATCTATCTATTTATCTATTTATTTATCTATTATCGGGTTGTTCGGGAAATAATTTCGTTTTTTCANCACGAGTGTCGCTAGTCGAACGTTTATCCAGCCAACTTCATTCTAAAGTAGAAATTATTGGATTGTTCGGAAAATAATTTCGTTTTTTCGCACGAGTGTCGCTAGTCGAACGTTTATCCAGCCAACTTCATTCTAAAGTAGAAATTATTGGATTGTTCGGAAAATAATTTCGTTTTTTCGCACGAGTGTCGCTAGTCGAACGTTTATCCAGCCAACTTCATTCTAAAGTAGAAATTATTGGATCGTTCAGAAAATAATTTCGTTTTTTCGCACGAGTGTCGCTAGTTGAACTAGTTTATCCAGCTAACTTCATTCTAAAGTAGAAATTGGATTGTTCGGAAAGTAATTTCGTTTTTTCGCACGAGTGTCGCTAGCTGAACTAGTTTATCCAGCTAACTTCGTTCTAAATCATATTATTATGATATTTTGACATTTCATGATTTATTTATAAGAAAAATTCGTTTGCGAAAATTCGATTCTGTGCGCGATTGTGTTTTTCGTGTGCGATAACAAAGATGCAAGACCAAAAGGAGCATTTTCGGCATATTTTACTTTTTTATCACCGAAAAGAGTGCAACTTCATAATGCAAGAAAAAATTTACGCGAAATCTATGCAGAAAGTATATTAATAGTGCATCAATATCAAAGTTAGTTTTCAAAATTTCGTTCCGACATTAAAGATACGCCACGTTCTAGAACATCAATCGAAGACCTGATGAAGACAAAATAGAGACACCGATTAAAACAAATCGACAAATAAAAATTCGTGAAAACGAAATTATTTTCCGAACAACCCAATATCTATCTATCTTTCTTTATACTCTTCCTTCTTCCTTGATATGATCAAATCCTATCCACGATGAATCGATCCGTTACAGGTGATGTTCGAGGAACGGATAGAGCGACTCTCGAGACCGCCTCCACTTTTCCCACTCTCGTTGGGAGCGCGGAGCTGGCACGACAAATCTGGTGATTCTGGGATATCGGGGGATGCCGGGGCCGGTAACGAAGACTCTTTCGACGTGAGTACGATCAACAGGGCGAAGACTACGGTGACCAGGCCGACTTGGACGCCGCAGCAAGACTTGGGAGAGGAATCGAGTAGCGACGCGGGCGTCGATTCCCCCCCTCCCCTATCCACGCCAATGAAGTATCGTTCCCCGCGGGGCCACGTGTTCTCCCTTTCGTTGCCCAGGGACGAAGCGAGAGCCTCGATGTGCCTCTGCCCGCCGGAGACCAAGACCAGGGACGCGTTCGCCTTCAACTCCCTTCAAAAGTTGAAACGATCCGTGTCCGGGGCGTTCGGAATTGGGTCGCACGATCACACCACTCACAGGAAATATAATAATACCCTCGACGACAATTGGCTTTTGTCGACCAGTGCGCCCACTTCCCTCCAACATCCTCGTCTTCGCCTCGACACCGCTCCTCCAATCTCTCCCACCGTTTGTCACCCGTTCTCCCATCGACGCGTTTCCGCCGCGTGCCCGTGCGACAGCGAGAACGAGGATAACGACGGCGACGACGACGATGACGAAGACGACGTCGAAGATGACGATGACGACGAGGACGAAGACGAAGACGAGGAGGACGATCGCGATGACGACCATGACGACGACCACGACGAGAATGTCGCGCGCGATCGCGAGTCGTCGAAGAAGAGGCGAGACGACGAAGACAAAGCGAAGGAAAACGATTTCCCAGTAATCATGAAACCTCCGTCGTTCTCGTACTTGACGCCCGGCGGTCACGTTATGTATCTACCGGAAACGAATGAAACGGAACATCGAGTGCAAAATTTGAACGGTAGAAAGATCGGGGAAGAAGGTAGCGTAACGAGGCGGAAATTAAATAACGGGGAATCGATCGAACGCGAGATTGCCTCTTTCCGATTGAACTCGTGCAAGAATGTTGGTCGAAGCAAGAGCGATAAAGAAGATGGAAGTGAGAGGAAGGAGCGGGGCGAAGAGGCGAAGAGGCGTAAGGAGAAACGCAGGGACGAGATCGAGAATGTTTCGAATCGACGACGCGACGACAAAAGTTTGAAGAACCATCGTATGGACGAGAACGGTTGCAGGGAACGGAACGAATTCTCCACTTGTCCCGAACCACCGAAACAAAGGAGAACGTTTTCACCGCCATCTACCAACGATCATCCGTCATCGCAGATCCCATGGATGTGCGACGCGAATGAAACGAAGTCGCAACGAAAGAGCAATTCGCGGGGCAAAAGATTCACGTTTCAATCGACGGTGAGGCAGATAGAGAGGCGACGGTTGGCGGAAAAATTGTCGAGGGAGGCCGAGGCGAAGGAGCGTCAAAGGAAAGGTGAACTGGAGGCGATGCGAAAAGTGGAGGAAGAGTTTCAACGAAAACGCGCGAAGGAAAAAGCGAGTATCAGACAACAGTTGCGTCTGTTCAAAGAAATGGAAGAGAATTTCAAGTACGTATATTCCCACTGATCCAAATACACTATACGTTTTCTATACTTATTTCGCGCTGTAACTCGATATCTCGTCCTCATAGTAGCTTGCCAACGCCGCCGGATTGGGACGGTTCGCAGTTGTCTCGCGCGGATCCGGACGGTGCCCCTTCCTCCACCGCATCCTCCCCCACTTCGTTGCCTAATGGGAACCCGCCGATGATCACGAGCACCGTCGGTAAACGCGGTGACACGGAACCGGCCAAGCAACCTCGTTCCGATTCCAAAGGCTATCGTCCAAAGTATTACGATTGGCCACCGGATAGCGCCAATCATTCGGATCACAAGCAAACCACCGTTCATCCCAAGATCGTTTGCGATATTCCCAAAAGCTCGCCCGTTTTCGTCCACGCGAATCTTCATCCTGGCAAGCCACCTGTCGTGTCCAATTCCACTCCAAAATCGGATAATTATAGGTGAGCTTGAATTTCTCGCCTATTATTGTGCAACAGCGTCTGAAATTAATATTTATCTTTTCTTTTTTCTCTTCGTTCTCGAATTTTTTTCTCGATAGGAAAGATTTCGCGCACGGTACAATGGTAACCAGAACTTCTTTCGCGAGTAGCGATAGCGAACTTTCGCAACCAAACACGAGGCCGCACTCCAGGGAGAACGGGATCAAGATAAAATCTCATCGGCCTAGGTAAGCTCCCAGAGATAAAATCCCAGAAAATTGTAAATGTACACCGAGACCGATTTCTATTCCATCCTGTCGTTCACGCTTGTAATTCCGTAATTTGTTTCCGCTTCGCGATCGCTGATCGTCGCTTATATATCTATTTTTCATTTCGTGCAGGTTTTAATCCGGGCATGTCGTAGAAATGTTAATCCTAACGCCTCTAGTCATCTAACAACGCTTCATTTTAAAGCTAAGTTAATCGTGCATGGATACCACCTCGATACCATGAGAATTCAGCGAATTGACAATTCGTTTCGAAAAGGAAAGAGAAAGAGATACATTTCGCGTTTTCGCGTTTTTTCGATGAAAAAAAAGAACGAAAAATGCTTAAACCTTAACGTGAACACGAATCGTCGAATCGCAATTCCTTCAACTCCTATATCCCAAGAGACAAGCGTGGAACGAAGACGAACAACGAACGAACGTTGAACGAACAGGTCCACCAGTCCTGCACGAAGCGCGGACATAGCGACATCTAAGGAAGATTTGTCCCAGCTGATCGAACCAACCGAACATCCGAAGAATCCTACTGCGCACCAACTTACATCGATAAGTGGATTACAACCGTTCACGAAACGAAAAACGTATAGGCCAATTTTTTATAATCCTTGCCCAACTCCACCCATTCCGAGTTAATTTTTTTCTCGAAAAATTTCAACTCCCTCTTTTGTATCGCGAAAATTATTCTTTCTCCTACTATCATTTTATATATACGTTATATTATTGTTATTATATATATGTATATAACATGGTGTATATATGTATGTAATATAATAAAATAAAATTAATATCTTGTTTTCCATTCGATCATTACGTTTTTCCTATTTATCTATTCGCCGCGTTCTCGACTCGGGCAAAAATTCTCGAATACGAATTCTTGCCAATTCATTGCGCATGCGCATTAAATTCGGTAATGGTGGATCCACGGTGTTCTAATCGACGCGTGAATCGTTTACATTTTCTATTCCGATGGATAATTACGATAAAATAAAATCGCTCAATAGCGATGAAACGAATCGTCAACGTATAAGTGCGTGTTCGTCGAGCAGGGAATCTAAAATTACCCGTAGAACCATACTATCGAGCACCCTCGTGTACGTACACACGTATAATATTTCGTTCTATCATTTCTCATTTTTTTCTCATTTCTCTTTCTCCTTTTATTTTTTCTATACCAAAGGCGCAACGAATTCGAATCTTTGATTTCCGAGAGTAGTGACGAGGAAGAGGAAACAATGGTTAACGAGCTGATGCCACGACAGAAAACCGATAAAGACACGAATATGTCAAATTCCAAATTACCCGAAACAAATTTGTGCGAGGACAT